TCTGTTCAATTTATGTATGTTTTTCTTGATTTCATGACATTTTTTCAGAATATGACTGTAATACAGACATAAGATCATGAGTCACCTGCCCTTTAGGGTTTATCAAAAAAGTGGCTCCATATCACATTACACCAAAAAAAGTTAAACAACAGCAGACACATATGTGCCAAAAGTGTAAAAAACAGACAGCATAATCCCAAATAAATTAAACAACAAGACACCTATATCTGCAAGACTAAAAATGTTCAATAACAATAGACAATAAACTAAAGTACCTTATACAAAAGCCCCTAGACCAAAATAAATAAAATGAGAGAAAATCCTTTGGCTTACCTGTTCTAAGGTTAATACTGGAGCATTTATGAAGGCCTCATCTAAAGGAAGCTTATAATGTCTTAGCATAGCCATAAAGTCACGTGTTTCCTGCTGTAATCTAAAATTAAATAGACACATTATAAAGGGAGAAATTTCACATGTAGACATATATACCTCATATATCATATTTCTAGTAATAAATAACCATCTAAATACTCCACACACACACACACAACAGACTTATTGTCAAAATCCAAAAGAACAAAAGAACCTAGCTCAACTCACCTTGTAAAAGACAAAGCAATTTCATCATAGTAGACAACCTCCATCAGACATGAATGTAGAGCATTCTGAAGGAGTGAATGGCACTCTTGGTTGGCATATATTGATGCCCATTCCCTAACCACAGCTCCTGCTGCTAGTCGCTGCACTGCCGAACGAGAGCTGAGATGTGCAATAAGAAGGCGAATGTAGCATAGAACAGGAGTTTCCTCGGGAGGGTATACTATCCCTGGCATGGGCTTAATCACATAGTTTGAAAGGCAACCTGGAACAGTAAAAAAGGATGTGATCCTTCTCTTCAAGAGGAATAAAATAAGTGGAAACATTTGAAAAAATATATATACATGTGTATGTTAAAGTACCAGACTCTCCTTTCAAGTTCAATAGTCAGCATTACTAATATGTGAACCACCAGTCTCTATTGTTGTATATGAAACAGATGTCAAAACAAATAACAGGGTGTATGTTTTCAGACAATTCAGACCTAGCAGTTCACTCCCTGGATACATACAGCAATGAATTTGGGAAATGGTATGAATTATACATTATATTTTTTTTTTTCATCTTCCTTTCTCATAAATATAGCCATACCCCACATACCAAATACCATGCAAAAAAGATAATTATTTTTTTATGGACATTTACCTAGGAGTCTTGCAGCAGCACATCTGGCCCTCACAACCACAGATTGTTTCTCACAAGGATCATTATACTGTTCACAACCACCCAGGTAATATTTGGCTTCAGCTTTTTCCGCTGGATCATTTAGGGCACCGACTCGCAATCTCTTCCCCTCACCTGACTGAAAGAATGAGTATGTCAAAATACATAAAATATGAAACAGACATGTAAAACTGTAATATCACTGAACTGAAGGAAAGGAGACAAAGGGGTAGGTGATGCATGTATGTGCAGCCATGTTTGCACAAGCAGGTGTGTACAAACAAAAGTGTTTCCTTGGAACAATATACCTTAATATACCTGAAAAGAAAAAACTCACCTTATTATGATGAGCAATTAGTAAGAGTGTTGGCTCAAGAGGAACCTTGGGGTTGGCCATCATGAGGCAGAGCCAAGAAGCAATCATAGGACACACAGCTGGCAGCAAACTCTCAAGGCTTGTCCTTGCCAACATCTGTTCCCATATCTGTTAAATGAAACAAGAAAAAATATGTAAATATAATTTTCATGGGCCAAATGACAACAGTAGCCTTCTAATACTATGGAACATTTTGAAAAGCAAATGGTAGGTCTAATAATTCTATAGATATAATCAACTAACTGACAGTGAGTACAACAGAGATATCTGTTACAAATCATTTCTTCAAAATGAATCACTATACAGAATATAAAAAAGTACCAATTTGATTTTTTATCCTAACAATTTTTACAATGGTTTAGGACTATCATTAAATTGCTTTATAAAGAAATTTCACACATCTCTTACCACAACATGAACCGTATTCATTGTGACAAATGTAGAAGAGGTATGAATGAGTATGAATATCTTCTCTACATTATTGCATACCCAAAAAGAAAATATCAGCACCACATACAAAACAATCTAAGCAGCCTAATCATATGGCTAGAACCCTTTGGGCTGAGATGGCATAACATATATGACATGTCTACTGTGACTTCAGTTTTTGATTGTATTTTCACCTGGATAGCTCCACAAGTGCTTAGTTACCAAGGAGTCAATCAATAGTCATATCTCAACTGCTTTTCCTTGCTATTTAGAAAGATTATTTTTTTTATCTATTGCTATTAATATCTTAACCCACTGGATCCAGATGCCTCATTCCCATAACATGGCCCAAAGTATGGGTAATAGGCTTCTTGTTCAGACACTGTGACAAGTGCAAGGCTTGTAAGCCAGGTGCAAACGAACACTTGTGTGCAGTGACAAGACTTTACTGTGTTCCTTACACAGTCTACATTACTCAGTGCAAGATTAAAACAAAATAACTTTGTTATTTGTGTCATTAATTTTTTTGTTGTAATATTAAATTTCCTGTAATAGAACATGCATTACCAGTCATGGCAGCCAGGAATAGGATCCTCAGCAAGATAATAGTTTCTTTCCAGGAGCCAGGACTCTTCCATTCATGGCTCACAGAGAGTACATTCTGCACTCATTTATCAAAGAAAATAATGCTAAAACCCCTTCTTAAATGAGTCTTGTCACCCTCCAAGAGATTTGTGCACTCATTGTGAGTCTTTCCTGTCACTCCAGCCTTCAGCAGAAATACTCATAATGGCAAGTTCATATCACCCCTGCCCGCACCCAAATTTTTATGTGGCGGCATGTTAACATTACCCATCCCTCCAGCCAAACATTTTCATGGCATGATGGTCACATTATCCAAATCATTAGGATGATGATTATTGATGATGATGATGATGATGATGATGATGATGATGATGATGATGAAGATGAAGATGAAGATGAAGATGAAGATGAAGATGATGATGATGATGATGAAGATGATGAAATGGATGATGATGATGATGATGATGAATGATGAAGATGATGATGATGATGATGATGATGATGATGATGATGATGATGATGAAGAAGAAGAAGAAGATGATGATGATGATGATGATGATGATGATGATTGATGATGATGATGATGATGATTGATGATGATGATGATGATTGATGATGATGATGATTGATGATGATGATTGATGATGATGATGATGATTGATGATGATGATTGATGATGATGATTGATGATTGATGATGATGATGATGATGATGATGATGAGATGCTTGAGATGCTGCAGTCAGATGCTTGAGCAAAATAGTTCAGGGAACACATATTTCCTTGCTCTGTGTGCATTGGCTGCTGTGTATATGAGTTTCCAGCATTTGAGACAAAAATAAGGCTTTAACCCCACACTTGAGAGGCTAGAGCTCCTGAACAGATGCACCCAGAGCCAAACAAGCAAACTATTACTTAAGGTGGACAACTCGGAGCCAGCTGATAGTGCATCACATTTGGCTTCAGCTCATTATGGCAAGAATATATACACAGTCAATAATGGGTTAAAAAGCATTAACTGATTCATTAGTAGCTGAGTAATTGTGGAGCCATCTGTGGACAACAAAAAACTGCAATAGACATTATATGTACCTCTACACAAAGTGGTATGGAATGGTACATTATTGATAACAGCAACTAATAAATGGCACATTAAGGATATCAGTTAAAATATGTTATGTTATTGATAACAAAAATTAAGAAAGGGTACATTTTAGAAACAGCATTTTTACATCACATATTGACTACTGATGAATATACAGATACTCCCTACCTTGAAAACAAATTCGATGTTTTCTTCTGAGGTTTCTAACAACGCTCTCTGATACATGTGAGTGAGAGCTGGTTGGATAATGGGGTTTAGCCATTCTAGAAAATCCTCACATTTTGTCTCCTCTTGAGGAAATTTGACCTCTGCTTGATTATTTTCTGGTTCATTTTTCACTTCGTTCTTTTCTTTTTCCATTTCCTCTTCTTTTTGCTCTCCCTTCTCTGTTGACTGATCTTGATTGCTATTCTCATCCTTTTTCATCTTCTGATCATCTGAGGGAGGGACTTTCTTATCATCTTGTTTCTCCTCGTCTACCAACATCTTATCATCTTTCTTGATATTTTCCTCTGCCTTCGGCGACTTCTCCACCAACATTTTATCATCTTTCTTGATATTTTCCTCTGCCTTCGGCGACTTCTCCTCCAACATTTTATCATCTTTCTTGATATTTTCCTCTGCCTCTGGCGACTTCTCCACCAACATTTTATCATCTTTCTTGATATTTTCCTCTGCCTCCAGTGACTTCTCCTCCACTTTGGCTGTCACACTTTCATGAGAGTTTGTGCTTTCTTGTTTAATATCTATCTTACTACTTTCTTCTGCCTCTGAACGTTCTTCCATCGCCATTTCCTCCACTTTGGCTGTCACGTTTTCACAACTGTTTGATGAGTTTTCCTGTTTAATATCAACTTGTGCTCCCACTTCTTGATTTTCTACTTTAACCTTTGCACTGTGTGAGGCTGACGTGAGGGTGGCTAAGGTTGCAAGGGCAGATCCTCTCACAGAACTACTTGAGTGGTAGAGAAATGGCCAAAGCCTTGGAGCCAGTTCTTTCAGGTCACTTTGCATGCTGTCAAATAAAAAAGAGGCAATCAGTAAAATAGTGTAACTTCTAAACTAAATCTGCATTATGCCTCCTAAGATTCACCTATATCTATGTATATCAAGTACATGATAATTCACTTTTATATGGCTATGATTTGGAACCCCACAATTACAATTCTCAAGCTAATCACTCATCATCCCCTATGGAACATACATCCTACATTTAAGCTTCCTTACATAAGGATGAAGAGAACACAGGGCAAATTGAATTATTATCCCATAGGATACTATCAATTTTTTGTCATACTTGGAGGGAAGTGGATGAAAATTATCATTTAGTGTGTTGATGTACCACGTGTCAGATTGCAAAACAGTGCATCCTTTGAGGGTCCAAAGCATGAAATTGAATATTATCTAGATTATGTCTGCTTGCACCTCTTTACACACCTGGCATCACTACTTAAATGGGAAAGAAGTTTTGATAAAAGCAGTAATATGGAGTTGGTCGAGGAAGTCAAATCATCTATGTCAAGAAGTGAATCCCACAATGTAGCCACCAGCTTTGTAACTACTTCTCGGTCCAGCAGCAAGACAACACTGTCAGACACAGGAACCAGACAAGATGCAGCCACAGCCACTACGTCATCCATCTCATCCACTAAGCCTGAAATTTTTGGAGACAGTTTCATCAGCCGACTTTCATTAACTAATTTCACACATTTATGCTCCATCAAAGTTTCTAGAAATATGTCAACATCGAGAGATCATCTGATATATATATATATATATATATATATATATATATATATATATATATATATATATATATATATATATATATATATATATATATATATATATATATATATATATATATATATATATATATATATATATATATATATATATATATATATATATATATATATATATATATATATATATATATATATATATATATATATATATATATATATATATATATATATATATATATATATATATATATATATATATATATATATATATATATATATATATATATATATATATATATATATATATATATATATATATATATATATATATATATATATATATATATATATATATATATATATATATATATATATATATATATATATATATATATATATATATATATATATATATATATATATATATATATATATATATATATATATATATATATATATATATATATATATATATATATATATATATATATATATATATATATATATATATATATATCTTAGGTTATTTCCCAATATTTTCAACATTTATATGAAAATTATACAGCCTTCTTATAAATTTTATCTAAATATATCAATTTATTTGAGACTCCTAGTAAACATGACAAAAGGGTCTAAACTCTAGCCCATTTCAAATCATCATACCTTTATATATATGTGGATATGCATGAGTGAGTAGCTGCGACCTGAGGTCATCTCGAACAGCCAAGAGGTACTTGAGGCCAAGCAAACCCCCATGGCGAGCCTCCCATTCCTTCCATGACAACATTGTTTCCAGTAAGCTAAGAACACCAAAGACACCCCCCTCTGAGAGTAAGTGCAAGATTCCACCTGAAAGAGAAGGTAATTTAATTTTCATGATAGTGAGATATTTGAGAAGACTAAGTACAGAAAGAGAGAATTTACATATATGAATGGAATATGAATGGCAGGAAAAAGAGAGCTTACAGTGATGTCAAAGAAATCAGAGAAAGTAAAGCTATATATGCTTTTGCAAATTTTCAAATTTCATCTTTGCACTTGAGGATACTGACACTTTCACTACAAATTTATGTCATTAAATACACTTAATTTAGAGTACATCTTTCTGAATGGCTTCACAGTTTATTAAGTAACTTAAAAGAGCTATTACAGATGATAAGTCAAGTAAAGGCCACAGTAAAGTGTCACCAAAAGATAGAATATGCAGATTATTCTTAACAGAAAATGCAGGAAATTTTGTTCAATTGTTAATTTCATGTTCATTACAGCTGCCAAAGTTTCTACTGCCATAGGTGTTAAATAAAGTATTTCAAAGAGAACAGTGGAAAAATGAAACAAAAGGAGAAATTCCATATATCATTATAAGGCTTTTCCCACTGATTCCTGGATATGGATAAATAATAATAATAAAAAAGATATGATATAAACATTAAACACAAAACAAACGGAAGAAAAAAAGTGAAGTAGGAATGGAAAATGAAAGGAATAATTGCTTATTTATATGGGAATATCAACATCCCATGAAGATCATCTTAAAATGAGTATATTGGCATTCAAAATAATAATTTAATTTTAATTCAGTAATGCAATAATTTCCCTAAAACCTTTTTTGAAAGTGTCTGAATACAAAACAATTATACATTGTATTATATATACATATATATTTGATCATACCCAGAGCTTGTGCACATGTCTCCCTCACAGGCGCCACAACTTGATCCGAGACAAAATCACCAAAGCGGTCTAGAGCTAAAACACAGACCAATCGCACAGCCATGTCCTCTAGCCAGGCTTGGTGATACTGTTCCATCTGCAAAACAAAGTTCAAAGTCTTATATATAACTGTAAGGAAGAGCTACAGACAAGGGCCAAGCATGGGGGTCTGCTAAGTCCTTTCCCAGAACTTAGCAGTCTGGGGGAGCCTGTGACAGTAGTGTATTTGTTATAATCATTACTATCAGAAAATAAACAAAAACAAAGAACAAAGGATGCTCAAGGG